TAAGATTTTTCAATCGATGATAGCCCTATACTTAACCCATAATAATAAATAAAAAACATTTTCCAGCAGTGCACATTTTGGTCCTTTTGTAAATAATCATATGCAAGGATGTTGGAAATCATTCCACACAGATTGCTGGTTAAACAGCCATAATCTCCGGCAAAAGTTTGAGTGTGTGCTTTGGCCAAGGCGAGGCAACCGCATCTGCCAAGAACATGCAGATGGCCAAGACAATCTTTCAATCAGACCGCGCAAACACCAAAGCCACCGGCACTCCGGCACTCTGGTACTCCGCTGAGAAACCGCAAAGCAAACAAAAAGCGCAACGATGCGCAGGGACGACCCAGCGGTCGCAGTCCCTGCCCTTGACACCACCCACCTGTATATGTTGGATATCAAAACCCCTCCCCTACACATACCGCTACCTATACAACTAAACCACCTCACCAACCACCACCCACTCACCTGGAACATACATGCACACGTGTCAAAGCAAACGGCAATCGGCCGCCGCACCTTGAGCAAATGCGGCTCAGTGGGGCGGTGATTGTGCGGCAGCATAAGTGGCACGTTCTGGGCTGCATATTTGTTCAAGTTTATGGCGACAAGCGATGCCATTTGCCATTCGCCATTCGCCGTTCGCCATTCTGTAGCCAGCTGATGACTTGTTCGATACAAAAGTCGTGAAAACTCCTCGAGTGCGGTGTGGAAAAGGAAAAGGATTTTTCCTCACCTTGCAGCCGACCGGTGAGCAACAAAAAGTGTTAAGTGTAGATATTTTTTATTTAAGCGTAAAACTCGTGAGCAAAGTCAGCAGAAGACGAGCAGCAAAGCTGAAAAAAGGAAAACAGAAAGCAAAAAGGTCTTTCTTTAGGCACTAATCTTGGAATACCCTGAGATTGCAGCGGCTTTTTAGAAAGGTTAAGGATTTTTTAAGTTATTTATACAAATTGTATGAGTACTTAAAATTAAAAAAATAATATCTCTATATAGTGAGATATTTCCCTAAGAAGCTCATAGAGTAGAAACATTCTTGGAAACTTTAAATTACTTATTTTGATTATCCTGATCTTGGGAGCTCTATCTTTAGCGGTTCCAGAAGATATTTGTTGGTAGGATTAACTTTAATATTAAAATATCATCATATACCATAATATTCAACATTCTTCTAACGTTTATTACCAATTAAAACAACCTTCTCCTTCAAAAAGGGTATACAAACATAAAGTATCAGGCCGAGTTATCGAAGAAATATAAGGCAGGAAATTGGGGTGTTGGCAAAAAATTTGCATGCAAGTCAGAGAAACGCTTCGGACTGGGTTTCTTTGGAAACATTTAGATGGTTGTGTGTATGTGTGTTTGGGGTTTGTGCTTAGCGATAACACTTTGACAGGATTACGCCTGCTTAAGGACCGCATCAAAGCCGACACCCAGGACACACCCACACGTCCTTGCAAAGGATATTACCGCAATGCTTGTTTTTTGCTCCTTCACCGATTGCCAATTGAAAAGACATTTGCAGGCACATTTGTTGCCACCACTTGGCTCTGCCACTGCCATTCAGCTCAACTCGAACTGGGTTCAACTTAAACGAACTGAACTCAACCGAACTGAACTCTCGATTCGGTTCGAAAAGCCCCGGCGGAACAAAGTTTGCATGACTTAAAAGTTATGTGAAGGAGATTGGGTTCCGACCATCGAACGTGAGGTAATTTCTAATATTTAGCCCCTAAATTAAGTTAAGAAAAAGGGTTGAACAGGCTCTTGGTCTTGCGGTCGTCTTAAAGAGACACGACACGATTACTTTTCCAGGCGTATTTTATTGCAGGTCGCAATACGAAACCATTTCGTATTCGTATTCGTATTCTCGTCTTCGTCTGGACAGTTGGTTTATTGGTCACACTTGGGCTCTCACATAATTTATGTGGGAATCTTGAGCAAGTCACTCCCCATCACATCAGTCAGCCCAGTCAGCCAAGTTGCCAAGTTACCAAGTCATTGCCAAGACACCGAGACACTTGCCTGGGCCAAGCTCAAATGAATTGTGTGAACCAAATTAAAATCAAAACAAAGCATCGGTAGGGAACTACTATATATGTATGTTTAGTATATATACATATATGCCTGGCAGTGAACGACAATCAGATATCCTATCTGGTGCAGATTAAGTGAGAGAGAATACTAGTTTTCAGTGGCCCAAGCTAACCCTTTTTGCCTGCTGCACATACCCTTTAATCAAGAAAGACTCGACGACTTCTGCGGAAAGCCCACAAATGCAGAATCATATTTCACATAGAGAAACGGTTCATTGCTAGTTCTAGAATATTATGATTGACATACGTACTACGTACATCTTGATTGGCATTGAAATATAAAATGAGAAGTGCCCCAAAATGGTTGCCGAATAAGAAAACCTTAAAGTTGCACACACATAGTTTTTCCCCTGCTGGCAATCTTTTTGTTACGGAAATTTCAAACATTTTGCTTTCCAATTTCCCAAACTTAAAATAAATTTTAATCATAGCTTTTTGCTATGTATGGAGGTTGCTACCTCTGAACTTAAAAACGGGAACTTCCCTCCCAAAAACTGGGACTCGCGGTGCAACTTGCTTATTGCGTGTGCCGAAGGCTTCCGTTCCCAAAGCCAATGCATGCCGCTAATTGCTTAGTACTTGAGAAACTAACTTACTACCGCTAAAAGTCAAGCAAGCATTTATTAAACTCATTATTTTTTAAAGGGGGAAAAAAAGGAAAACTCTCGGGAAAACTTGCAGAAAAGCATTGCGTGTGGGGCACATGGCGATGATGATGATGATGCTCATGTGTCTAAGTTAAGAAACAAAGAAACGCACTGATAAGCTGCCACGCCCACATAGCTAATGCATCTGGCTATTTGCCCCGCGGTCTTCTTTGCTTTTCATATGCAAATTTCCGTGTGTAACGAAAACTCGAGCAAAGAGGGTGGGTGACATTTTAACACCCACCCGTTTTTATGGCCTGACACAAACAGTTATAATTAATTGCCTGTCCGGAATTGACATCCCACTCTCCAATCTCCACTTTCCACATCGCTCTACTGCCGGCCCACGCTTTCAGCTTCAATCAATAAAAGCAAAAAAGTTGAGCCATCCAAAAGTTATACTTATAGAAGCCATGAGATATGGATACTTTGTGGCGGAAACAGGTTCGCTTCGCCACAGCCGAAGATCAAAGCCCCATCATCAGCGGCGGTATCGGCTCAGCCCGCTGCTGAACATCCGCTGTCTGCCCACACTGTGGCGACTCCGACGCCGCATGGGTACAGTGGTTTTAGAGGATTTTAGTGACTCCTATTTGGGGGTAACATCAACTGAATCGTTCTTCTTTATGATAAAGGATTCAATTATGAAATAAACTCATTTTAAATTGATATTTTTGTCCTTCGATTTTTGTTTAAATTAAATTGGCCTTGGAATTCAAAGTCAAATATCTAACTATTATTTCATCGCAATAAAACGTTCAGCTAGGTGCCTGTTTTGGTTCTTATAGTTTAAGTCGAAAACTATTTAGTGTTTAGAATCCCTTTGAATGGGAAACATTACGACAAAAAGGAATTAACCTATTGTTCTAGGCCCAGCTTTCAATATTTTAATTTCTCCTAAGCTGTTTAGGTTACTAAAAGTTTCAAAGCGATGCAACAATTCAAAAAAGTTAAACAATATTCCTGCATAAAAGCTACACTGGCTAAGCTAAACTGGGCTGGGACAGTTAGTATTTTATTAAACAGTTAAATTACAAAAACCAAACGATTAAAATTCTACAACTTGTCACGCTTAACCCCTTTGGAAATGGTCCAACTTCATTAAGACCAAATTCGATCCACTGTGCAATGTCTTGTGAACTTGATTTGGGAAGCGAATGTGTGTGAAATCTGGTTTGTATACATGGCTCAAACTGGATTTGGCGCTTGGGATTTTTATGAATGAATGAGAGTGGCAACAGCAGCTATAGTTAGCTGCTTCCCCATGGCCATTTGCGTTTACTACGTAGAAGTTGCGGCTGTTGCTGTTGTTGTGGCTTTCGCAATATGCTTTTGCCACATATACTCATGCATATACCTGATACAAGATACAAGATATGAGAGAACATGTGGGGCGGGGATTTGGTGGATACTGTGTTATGTTTGGGGGTACTCACAGTCGGTGGTGGTGCCTGGGCAAATAATGAACATGGAACGACGCATCACAGGTGTATCGCTGGCTATAAGCCCGTTTCCCGTGGCCAATGTTTCAGTTTGGCTCTCGAGTTACTTTCCAGCCACAATTGGCCACAGTTCATTAATAAAATTCACTGAAGCGAAGCAACTCTGCTTACCCGCCCATTTATATATACATATATATGTTTTCTTCTTAGCCCTATATGTTTGTAGGTATCCCATGGATTCATTTGGGTTTCGTGGCTCATTTTTTTGTATTTGCGAGACAACATTCTAGTCTTTCGTCTTCGTTCGAAAACGTAACTAATTGAATAATAATCCATGCATTTCCATATGAATAGCCGATTAAGACATGTTGTTCATTTAGCATAAATAGTTTTTGAGTATCGGAAATCGTAGCGGAGATGGGTAGATTCGAGGGGATACGGCTTAGTCTCTGTCCAGTTCAGGCTTTGAGATACGCTTTTTGTACGGGCTTAAATGGATATCAGCTCATTCGCTCATTAGTTCCCATGTACAATGTAAGCAAAGCAAATTAACACGAAATCTACTTCCGGTGCGAGAGAGGTTTTGCTTTAATCCCCATTCGAAATGGGGGAAATTTGCTGGCTTAAATCAGACAGAAAGACTTGGCAAATGTGCACTAGACATCATATGGTGATAAATGATAAATTATAGGATAGCAAATTGGTAGAGGGAAGAAAATCTTGTCAAATTCCTTTTTTAAGAAAATTACATCAATACGCTTCGAGTGATACAATAGTCACAGAGTGAATTTATATTTACAAACATTTATCTTGATAGTCTAGTCTCTGAACTTCTTACTCTTAATTCGATCCATGGATTCCACAAAAAGCTTAACATTTGCCAAAAATTCAGAATTTGTCAAATTTTTATCACTAAATATCAAACTGATTTGGTATGTTCCGTGGGGAAATGGCGGCAAAAAACTGGTGTCCAGATAACCATTCCTTGCACTTAAATGTCCCTAAAGTAAAAATAATTAAAAATAAATAATATAATATAATAAGGTGGGATTACAGAAATACCGATACACTGCAAGATTCGTTGACGTTCGTGAAACGTTTCAATATGTTCCAGAACATGACGCCATATGGTATAAAGTTTTTCCTATCGATCACTTCGCATAGCTTGAAAGTCACGTCAATGAGGAATGGCTTGAACTGGTTAGAATAGTCCTTTAGAAAAACTTGCAATCGGACCTGACACAGAGAAGGTTTGCTATGGATTATGGTTTATATATTTTTAAAATTTACTTACAACAGGACTTATCACAGGCAATATTAAGAAGCAATCCATATTAACCAAGGCCACATTCCAATTGATCGCCTTCAAACGACAGGTGACATCACTGACTCGTGCCTTATTGACCTGGCACTCGACTTTGTTAATCTTGTAAACTAACTCGGCCACTGACTTTAAGGATAATAAAGGTTTTTAATTTGTAATAAAGTTAGTTCGTCCTTACCATTTGCCAAATTAGGCAGAAGTTTAGATAGACAAGCCATACCAAACGCATTTTGCTAACTGACTGAGCTGGAATTAACTAGAATTTTAAAAGGTGAACAATACAGTTATATCGATCCATAATACGTTTATAATGATCAATCAAATGTCAATAATAAAATATATAATAAATTGAGCATAAACCTAATTAGAAGATCGGGAAAGTTATAAATGATGTAGACAAAAATATCCAAACCTATGTTTGTAGTTAATAGGTCGTTTAACCTGTTATTTTTATAAAATTTAGAAAATATTTCCCTAAGTTATAAATTATGAACTATAACTATGAATAACATTTGTTAACCTTTCTATTTAATTAACAAATAAATCGGCTTTATCCATTATCTTAACAATATTGATTTTCGTAAACCCGGAAGAGACAAATACCTTCATAGATTTATATCAGAAGGTTTTGAGTGATTATAGTACTCACAGAGCGAATTTATATTTACAAATATTTATATTTGTGCCACTCAATAGTCTAGTCTCTGAACTTCTTACTCTTAATTCGATCCATGGATTCAATAAAAAACTTAACATTTCCCAAAAATTCAGTATTTGTAAAATTTTTATCACTAAACATAAAACTGAATTGGTAGACTCCGTGGGGAAATGGTGGCAGAAAACTGGTGTCCAGATATCCATTCCTTGCAGTTAAATGTCCCTAAAGTAAAAATAAATATTAATAAAATGATTAAGTAGAATTACACAAATACCGATAAACTGCATGATTCGTTGACATTCGTGAACCGTTTTAATAGTTTCCACACAATGACGCCATAGGGTATAAAGTTCTTCCTTTCCATCACTTCACATAGCTTGAAAGTCACGTCAATTAGAAATGGCTTGTACTGGTTGGAATAGTCCTTCAAAAAAACTTGCAGTCGAACCTGACACAGAGAAGGTTTCTTATAGATTATGCTTTATATATTTTTAAAATTAACTTACAACTGGGCTTGTGACTGGCAATATTAAGAGGCAATCCATATTGACCACGGCCATATTCCAATTGATCGCCTTCACACGACAGGAGACATCACTGACTCTTGCCTTGTTTACCTGGCATTCGATTTTATTTATCTTGTAAACTAACTCGGCCACTGACTTTAAGGATAATGGGGATATTAATGGTTTTTTATTTGTAATAAAGCTGGTTATATCCTTACCATTTGCCAAACTAGGCAGCAGTTTAGGAACACAAACCATCCCAAAGGCATTTTGTTTACTGATTGAGGTGGAATCAACCAGAAGTTTAAAAGGTGAACAAGGTTATATCGACCCATAATACGTTTTTAATAATCGATCAAATGTCAATACAAAAATATTTAACAAATTGAGCATAAACCTAATTAGAAACACGAAAATGTTAAAAATAGGGTAGACAAAAAATATACAAACCTATGCTTGTAATTAAAAGGCCATTTAACCCTTACAACATTTAGAAAATATTTCCCTAATATATTATAAACTATAAATTATAACTATAAATAAAATTTGTTAACCGTTCTATTTTATTAACCAAAAATCTGTTTTTTCCATTATCATAACAATATTGATTTTCGTAAACCTGGAAGAGGAAATTCCTCCTTAAACCTAAACACATTAAAAGGTTTGGAGTAAGTATATTATTCACAGAGCGAATTTTTATTTACAAATATTTATATTTGCGCCAATAGTCTAGTCTCTGAACTTCTTACTCTTAATTCGATCCATGGATTCAATAAAAAGCTTAACATTTCCCAAAATGTCAGTACTTGTAAAATTTTTATCACTAAACATAAAACTGAATTGGTAGATTCCGTGGGGGAATGGCGGAAGATAACTGGCGTCTAGATATCCATTCTTTGCACTTAAATGTCCCTAAAGTAAAAATAAATATTAATAAAATGATTAAGTAGAATGACACAAATACCGATAATCTGCATGATTCGTTGATAGTCGTGAACCGTTTCAATATGTTCCAGAATATGACGCCATATGGTATAAAGTTTTTCCTATTGACCACCTCGCATAGCTTGAAAGTGACGTCAATTAGAAATGGCTTGTACTGATTGGAATAGTCCTTCAAAAAAACTTGCAGTCGGACCTGACACAGAGAAGGTTTCTTATGGATTATGGTTTATATAGTTTTTAAATTTACTTACAACTGGGCTTACGACTGGCAATATTAAGAGGCAATCCATATTGACCACGGCCATATTCCAATTGATCGCCTTCACACGACAGGAGACATCCCTGACTCGTGCCTTATTGGCCTGGCATTCGATTTTGTTAATCTTGTAAACTAACTCGGCCACTGACTTAAGGGATAAGCGGGATAATAATGATTTTTTATTTGTAATAAAGCTGGTTATATCCTTACCATTTGCCAAACTAGGCAGCAGTTTAGGAACACAAACCATCCCAAACGCATTTCGCTAACTGACTGAGGTGGAATCAACTAGAATTTTAAAAGGTGAACAAGGTTATATCGACCCATAATACGATTTTAATAGTCGATCAAATGTCAATACAAAAATGTCAATACAAAGATATATGACGGCCTAATTAGAAACACGAAAAAGTTAAAAATAGGGTAGACAAAAATATACAAACCTATCTTTGTAATTAAACCTGTTATTTTTATAAAATTTAGAAAATATTTCCCTAATATATTATAAACTATGAACTATAACTATAAATAAAATTTGTTAACCTTTCTATTTTATTAAAAAAAAAATCGGCTTTTTCCATTATCTTAACAATATTGATTTTCGTAAACCCACATAAGCTTGTGTTTTCATCTCGGCTAATTTAATCAACAGCGTTCAAAATCAATGAATAAATAATAAAAAAAAGCTCAGTATTGCCCACATTCCATGGGCTTAACTAAAGTGCTAGCCAGGTTCCTCCTTTTGGGTCTGCATAATCCCCATTAAATGCCATTCAATAGCCAATGTCCCGGTAATACTTTAATCCTTTAAAGCAGCTGCAGTTGTGAAGTTTTCGTTTGGCATTCGACGTTGGCCATTCGCTCTTTTATTTTTTGCATTATTTTTTTTATATTTTTTGACCATTTCCCCACTGACAGCTGGCAATTGTTCAATTATTGCACAGTGGCTCGGCTCTGTGGATCAGTGGCATATCCTGGCAGACAGGACCTCCAATCCGCCCATCAGGGAATACGTACGACAAATAAAAAAAAAAGAGTGTATAAGAGGAGGAGCCAACAAGCAACTATCGTTTAATCATAAAAAATGCATGCGCCCATAGAATAAATCCCAATGCGTCAATTGCCATGCCCTCCGCTGTACCCTTGATGCCGTTAATTGCATATCAATGCAGCATCAGCATTGGGAACTGAAACGGAATTGGATTCCAGATGGAGATGGAGTAGGAGCTCCTCCTGACTGCAGTTCATCAGGGTGTCATTGACATCGCCAGTGGTTATATCTATAATATGTAGGTTGATATACCGACGGCAGCCGCTGGGCCTGCTGATAGTTGTAGCCACGAACGCCAATTAAACTGATAGACTTTTAACGCATTTTGCGATTTTAATTATTAACTTGGTCGGTCTATCGATAAGTCAGCCATCCAACATGACTTCATTTCGCATTTCTCCGCCCGGCACATCGCCTCCTCATCAACTCTCGTCCTGCATGATGAATGCCTTTTTAATGACATCACATGTGTCCATCTGTGTGTAAGTGTGTGTGTGCATGTGTGTGTGTGAGTGCGAGGGTGGTTGTAATTGTGTTGCCATCTGTTTTGTGGTATGTGTGAGCTTATGGAGTCAGTGCTGGCAAAAAATATATATCAGAAAGGATAAGAAATTAAATATCTAAACAGTAACTCATAATATTCTACAAAATTTGAAACTCAAGGTAGGTAAAAAATCTAGTTAATAACAATTTTTAATAATTTTTTAACTGGCTTATTCATAACTTTCATTATATTTATTGATATTTAATCCATATAAGAAAATTCCATTACTTTTATATTTTTTTCTGAATACCTTTGAATACCTTTATATGATTGCTTAATCAACGCACTTAAAACATTAAAAAATGCGTACTCCTTTTTATTAAAATGAAGAACTTATTACAGTTAAAACCTGCCACTATTAACTTTTAATAAAAATGGGTAAAACTGAAATGCCTTTATGGTAAATAATATACAAAAGATGTGTTAAATTAAGGATTTACTTAAAAGATAATAGAGTTACTCCACTTTTACCTATGTCCAAAAGCAAGCCAAAATAAATTTTAATTCGAAAAAAATAATAACAAAAATCCACAAAAGTATAAAACATAACAAGTCACTCTTCCGCACATAAACTGATTAGAAATGACAGCTTTCTACGTTAGCTACCATTTAATTCGGACTTTTTTAGAAACCTCTCTAATCGTTTCTAATACCCAGTCACATTAAGAGAGAAATACACTAAACCATAGCAATTTTTGCCACATCTGAGCAACAGTTTTCTCATAAACTCGATTTGTTAGCAACTAGCAGTAGGAGCAGCATGTGGTTTATCCATAGCTTATGGATCGGTTTGCCACCCACTTTGACGGGTTGTGTAACGACATCACTGCACTGCATGTATGTGCCCCTGTGTGTGGCACTCCTGTATACTGGCTTGTCATTGCACATTGTCTTTATTTAATGTTTTGCAATTTGGCAAATTTATTATGCCAGGATTTGAGTCACACAAGAGGACGGCCAACGTGTCATTTATTGCATTTATCATGGGGATGCACATCGACCCCGAAAACGTCATTGCCTCCTGCAACCGGGGCAAACAGTGTGCGGCACACTTCAGCTGAAATGCCAAAGCCTGACACTGATTGCAATTTTAATTTACAATAAAACTCATTAGCAGTGATTGCTGTTTACTGTTAGTCGGAGACAGCCGTTAGGGCCCAACTAAATGTGCCACAAGTGCAGTGCGACCACCCAGCAGTTCCCAGCCCCTCCTCGTTGTCACCCCACCATCCAGCCAACCCATCCTAAGTGCATAAACGTGTCGGTGTATTACGAGTTCATTTGCTACACACTTTGCCGGCCTAGGGTACTCATCCTCATCCTCATCTCCCCTATCCACATCCCCATCCCCATCCTCAACCTACCCATCCTCATTACAAACCTGCATCTTCCCTGCAGATTTAGTGCCCCATCTGTGTTGACTTTGTGAGGCATTATCATTACCAGTGGGCAACCTTAAGTTGTAATGCCATGTCTTGGACACAGCGAACTTGGACTGCTAACGGAATGGAATCCACGATCTGCCTTTCGATTGGGCATTCCAATTAGTGTTGGTCCAGTTGATTCCCCAAAATGTTTGAATGTGTAAATATGATGATTACCAAGTCGATAGATCACGATTTGGTTGCAGTAATTTATGCATCTTACATACTAAATTTCCATGTATTTGTCCTAATTTAATATAAAATATTTTAATTCGTTAGTTAATAGTCTTAAACTTGATAGATTATTATGCCTTTCAAAGTATTTTGCTCAGTAATTAAGGCTTTTTGCCGTTTTGATTACAGACTTAATTGATATTATTTTCTTTGAATAGTGATTACATTCAGTAATTATATTTCTTTAATTTTTATGAAGAAATAAAGGAAAATAGCCCTTTGATTGGTATTAAATTAATTATGCCTGCCTGACTACAAAGGCTTAGTGATTCGTTTTTGTGCATTTCCATGAAATTTTCCCATTAGCTTTCAACTAATGGAGAAGATGAAATGTTGGCCTTCATTTTGGCAGTGGCTAAAATTTAAATATATTTCGGAATATTGGCCAACATTTAGCACAAAATGTAATGCAGCTCATTACAATTAATCATGCGACCCGTAAGCCAGCTAAGCCGCTTTGCATTAAAATCGAATAAACCATAATAGGTAGATATATTCTATTCCATACTAAATATATATATATATATATATATTGTGGCTGTCATTCACACGCTTAAGCTGGCGGTGTTAAACAGCCGCGGCTTTGAATCCGTTTTAATTAAGCAAACGCCATGGCATATTTTAGTTAATTTGATTATAGAACCTATCACGTATCTTGCCTTTGTCCCTACAACCAACCAACGCACATAACATTTTGTTATTATTATTATTATTATTATTGTTATTGGCTTTAATTAGGTATTACCGGCAGCATTCGCATATTAGCCATGGCTTTGTGCGCACGCATTATTGACCGTGTGCGTGAATTATGTGTTAATTTGTATTAATGATCTTTCCCCTTGGTACGCCCTCGGTACTCCCCACGTTTTTGTTACCAATTCAATTGAATTTTCCTCTCCCCATAAGGATACGTTTTTAAGGAATTTTGAGCGTTTTAAATACAGAAATCCTGATAATCTGTTAATTAAAAAACACAAACATCGATAAAGGCATAATAAGAAAGACAAACATTTTAAAGCGCAGGATAAATGGGCAGTAAACATAGCCAGCACCTATATATATTTCATGAAAAGCTTTGGCAGTTTAAGGAAAGATATTTAAAAAGATTAACAGGTGTTAGATACTCTATAAATGTGTAATAAAAAACCAGACAGAACTTCAAAATTAGACTTTTGCAATCTTATTTTAATGATACTTTGTTTTTAATTTCGGAAATCTTCATATTTCTTATAAAAATATCAAATATAGTTCAACTAAACCTTAAAGTAAACACAAATTAAAGATATTTCCTATGCAAAAATATAAAAAAAATTAAATAACTAACATTGTAACAACCCAAAATGTAAGTAAGCCCAGGTAAGTGAGTGTAATAATTCGACCAGACGGACCACCAGCCCGCTCCTCTCTTCACCATTTTTCCCTTGATTTTCGTTGGTTATTTTTGCATACGTTGGACCAGTTGATGACCAGGTCCAGACACGGACCACTCAGACCTCGGACTCTGGCCAAGACCAGTCGGCACTCGTGCAGCTGATGCCGCGGCGCTTGCGTTAATAATTATGGAAAATCAACGCTTCGGCATCATTTGGCAACTCATTAAAATTCATAAATTATACTTCAGCGTTTCATTAAAAAATCAGTCAGCGATTGCAGACACCATATCGTTGGACCCTCTCTCTCTCTCTGATTTAAGGCTTTTAAGAGGTAATGTATTTTTTAGACCAGAAACGTGTAATACAAAAACGATTTAATTGATGAAAAATGCTGGCATTTAAGTTTGAAAGAAGGGCTTTTTGCAAATACACAGCAAAATCACATTAATCGAAATACATTAAATCAATACGAAATAATTTAATTAAAACTCAAATATCCCATTGAAAGGGAGTGCGAGGAAACCAGATAAAAAGCATGTAAAATGATAACAATGATGATAATAATTCGCATTGAATTGAAGTGCACTTTAAACAGCATGGAAATAATAAACGATGGGTTTAATTAATATGGTTTTTAATTTCATTTAAGAATTTAACAACAT